AGACCCCCCCCCCCCTTCTGAAATCAGATCCCAGCAGAGCATCCTCTGCCCACACAAATCAGCACTACTCCAGTGATTATTCAGTCATGGCAAGTCTTCTGGAAACTAGCCTTTACTACCATGTTCAGATTGGTAATTATTCTATAAAATGACCTGGCACTCAATTTGGCAGGTAGCTGTAGCAGTGAGGGTCAGCTACCACACTACCCAAAATATTTCAAGTTTGTTAAAGCATGACTTGTATTTCAGAAAGTGCTTTTTCCTGATAATATTATTTTTTAATACAACAAAATGGTATATTCTTTACAAAAGACTGTCCACAGCCACAATAATCTACCACTTCTAAGAAAAGACATGAAAGTTACAATGAGAGATGTCTAGAGAGAAAATCCACCAAATCCATCAGCAGAATCTATTGGTGGGAGTGCATGGGGAAATGGTCCACATTTTGCTGAATGCAACAGCCAACAGTTTTGTGCACCAAAGAGAGTCAGTGAAGCAACAAGATGTGATGCTATTTTATATTTGTTTTTGGTAAACAGAGAAGACATAAAATATTATACCATAGAAAACGGCCTTGGATCAAATCATCATGAACTGATTGGGTTTAAATAAGTCTATGGTTCTCAATTTCAAATGGGCAAACTTTGAAAAATGACAGGAACTAATTAATCAAGTCATATGAATTGAAGAGCTTTTGAACCTGAATGTAAAGGGGGCTTGGGGTTTCTCTGAGGTACAAAAGCAACCTGGAATTTTTACCTTGAGCATAAAGAAAAAAAATGTGTAGGGAAGCATCCCAAACCAATGAGCTGAATTCACATCTCACAAAGGAGAGCAGGAATAAGATGGCAGCCTACAAGGAAGGGGAAATAGGACTGAAAGTTACATCCTACCAGTTATTAAGTGTAGAGATGAAGTGAGATTTACCAAAAGTTGAGCTGAGTTAGAAAGGATATTAAAACAAATAACAAAAGGCTTCTGTTACATAAAAAGAGAACAAGAAAAGGAGTGGAAGCCATTATGCATCGAGGAGGGGATAGAGCTACAAGGTAAAAAAAAAAAAGGCAATAGGAGTCAATGACCCACGGGGTACTTTCTGAGGCAGTGGTTCTCAACTATTTTAGATTCAAGGCACCCCTGGACAGACCTGAGACACTTCTTGGAAAACATCAGCTCTTAGTTTTCACTCTTTTCTTTTTGACGGCAGAAAAATAATGCAGCAATTCTTCTGTTACAAAGACCTCCGATCACAACAGGCCAGAATGTTTTTAATCCTACAAGCCCCTGGGTGAAATCCCTGGGTTTCTCTGGTCCATCACGTTTGCCACAGCGCCCTGCGTGAGAACCACTGCTCTAAGGTCTTGCCTCCCCCGAGCCGCCCTGAGTGGTGTCGTTGAACAGCCACGACCCCTTCAGAGCAGTTTCTCACTGGCCGGGGGGTCGCGCTGCCCCTTTAAGCCGGTTGTGCTGCGATGTGGCTGGACGGTTCCGTGCCAGGGAGCAGAAAAAAAGAGATGCTTGATGTCACTGGCACCACCCCGCTACCTCTCCAGCAGCCTAGCCTGGCCCTTCATTTGTGCCTTTGCTCGCTTCCCCTCTGTTTATACGTCTCCTATCCCTTCTCCTCTCCCCCTCCCTTTCTCTGGCCTGCCCCCCCCAGCTGTCACCTGCACCGGGGGGCTCTTGCTCCAGGGGGAGAAGAAACACAGGCTTTAGAGAGCGCTTCCCGACTTTGCCCGGGCGCAGGGGCCACTTCGCCGCGCGCTCAGAGCAGCGCTGAGCCGGGACCAGCCCCAGGCAGAGGCAGCCGGAGCCATGGTGCTGCCGCGCGGGGTCACGTCTCTCAGGGGAGCGGGGCTGGCGGGCGGCAGCTGGGGCTGGGCGGATGCCTCCCGGCCCGGGCGGCTGATGAAACCTCTGCGGTGCGTTGCGGAGCCGCCGCGGGGGATGCTCCGGCCCGCGACATCCTCGCGGGGGTGCAGCGTGCCGGGGCGGGGGGACGG